TAACTGAAATTGGTTTGAAATGTGGTTCACTGCCATAAACTGTTGATGATACATTTGTTAAGATTTTGTTGACTGAAGAGTTAAACGATAAACGTTCGACCCCGCTATGCTTAGTGTATGTGGCGACATCTAGTGGCCAGTCGCTGTATCTTTACTAACAGTAATTTACATGGATTATTTGAATGAATGTTGTTTTATTTCAATGCTCTTCCTCGTCGTTTTATTATTATTCTTTTTAAATCTAATTTATTTATTTTATCCTAAAACTGATTTTATTTGTGTCCAAGTATAGACATCTAATCCTAAAACAAATGCAACATTCATTTTTCTTCCCTTTTTTTTTTTACTTCTAGAGAAAACTTTTAAACATTTTTTTTATTACATGAACTTGGCTGACGTCCAGGTGATGACCACAGTGGTGTAACGTCATCTTTCTCTCCTCACTCTCAGGACAGTAAAGAATATCTCGACTGCTGCCTCAGTGAGTCCTTCAACTCCTCCAACTGCACGCTGGGGGTCGACTTGCGTCGGGGCCGCCGTCGCTTTTCGGGCAACCTGCAGCTACCCCCGCTGTCATGGCGTCAGAGTGAAAGGTCACGTTCGCCCAACGAGGAAATCATGACCCGGCCGACGTCACTGCCGTTTGGAGCTCCTCCCAGGATAGACATCACTCCAGTGGATCCTGAATGGTGAGTGAAGTGTCGAGTATTCGTACCAGAAGTATGACCAACATTATACTATAGGTCAACCTCCGTCAGCTGGGCACAGTATGAAAAGGTATACAGTATGATTATTGCTCTATTATTGTTGTTTTTCAACCCTTAATTTTGGGTTATTTACACTATTTAGTTATTATTTACCTATATACAAATTATATATGTACAGTATATATATACATTAAAACGAAAAAATAAAATATTTTTTATCAATTATATATGTATATATATATATGTACAAAATTAAAACGAAAAAATAAAATAATAATTTTCCCTTTTTATCAATAGAGGGAGTGAGAGTACCACCATTTGTGTATAGACCATAGTTTGATTCACACTCAAATGCTCTGTGTGACATTGTTACAAGGTGATAGGTTCAGGGAAACTCCGTTCCTCTGGTTCCAAAAGTCTCAGGAGGCGTGACGTATAAATGATCTTAGTTTTTAATGATTTCTCGGTGTGAAGGTCCCGTTTCTGTCCTGTCTGTTATTTACAGTTTGGTTTGGTTTTATTTATTTAAGTTACTATACACATACAAGGGTTTCATTTGTTAGACCCATGGTCTAACACAGCATGGAATTTTTTTTTATTTTAATTTTTTCCCAGTTTTTACGTTGTTGTAAATCTCGTGTTCAAAGGTCAAAGTACAACGAGTGTCTGTAGGGTCAAAGGTCGAAGCTGCCGTAGTTCCAGTGAGCGTTCGTTGAGCTCTGTGAGAGTGACTGATCAGTCCAGTCTGTGAACACACTGCCTGCCTTTATTGTGTATGTCTGATGTGTAGATACATGTACCACACTCCCAACCACAGCCAACAGGTGCAATTAATCCACAAACAAGAAAAGGCCAAAGGCAGAGCAGATAAACTTTATCTTTTTTTTCCCCCTGAACTGAAAACAACCCTCGTCTCCTGCCACGGTGCATGTGATGAATAAAAACGAATTCAATTCTCTGGAAACATCAGCTAATTGTTTTTTTTTTTGTGTGTTTAGTCGCACGGCTAATTTCAGGTGTTTGTGTCCTACACAATAGATGGTGCTTTTGCAGTGGCTGTTGTTCAGTGTGTTCTGGCCGGGGCTGTCATCTGTGATGCTGGCTGACATTAAATGTCAGATTAGTTCCAGGTCACTGGTTTTCAGATCATCAGTGAGCTGCTGTGATGGGATAACGACGCCACCAGTGATTTTTTTTTCTCACCACTCGCTTCTGTTGTTGTTTCCAGTCAATCGCCCGTTTATGTCCAGCTGTTATAGAGTCATAATAATCACATTCAAATGCAATTAACTGCAAGTGAACAAGTGTCATTGAGGATAAAATAGACCATGATGACAGCAGACTAAACACCACACAGTTCCACTATAAAAAAAGGAAAAAAACACAAGTTATCATTGGAAAAATATAGAAAATACACCTGAGTAAAATCTGAATTGTATGTAGTTTTATCTTTCAATTAATCTAAGTTTATTTGGCTCCATAGGAAAATCGGCAACAGTTTTAATATCGTTCATATCATTTCCTTCCAGCAGAGGGCAGTGTCGTGATAGTTAACTGTGTGGAGGTGTATTCAGAGATATATTTACTCCACTAAAAGGGGAACATTTAATTATTAGTTGCTTTGTACTAGTTATTGATTAATCGTCTTCTAGGAACCGTCGAACACACACATCTGTGTCACAGGTTTCACCTTCAACCAATCACATCTGTTGGTTTTTTTTAAATATATTTTTTAATAATATCAACTGTTTCTGAGTGCATCATAATATAATTCTACATTTGTTGCATTTCTTTTTTTTTGTGTAAACATCCATCCATCCATCCATTCATCCATCCATCCATCCATCCATCCATCCATCCATCCATCCATCCATCCAATCTGTATTTTCAGATGACCTAAATACGACTTGCATTTCTCTGTGTTGTCAGTGAATTTATTGGTGGCCTCCTGGTCCCCTCAGACAGCAGCAGACTTTACAGCAGGTAAAGACTGTGCGCGCGCGCGTATGTGTGTGTGCGCGTGTGTGTGTGTGTGTTTCTCCCTCCAGCCATCTTCTCACTTCATACTCTCTGCCTTTTAGGCATCACAGCTGCTGAACATCAGGGTCAGCAGAACTGACCTAAATAACCTCAGGTCTGATTTCTGTCTCCTCCACTGAAGTGACCGTGTAGCCGTGATAGTGTGTGATGGTACATTTTTTTAAAATTAAAACTTAAGATTAAGACATTAAGACCGTTATAAAACCAACAGCGAAGCTGTTGATCTCTGAGTACTAGATGCTGAAATTGAATCCTGGCAGAAAGAACTGATGGTTAATAAATAAATAAATATACTTGTTATTATTATTTTTTTTAAAAACGGTATTCACTTCTAAATGTCAGAGTACACGCAGCACTCAAGTGTTTGAATCCTGGTTTCATCCATTTAAAGGTCACATCTTTGCTCTCACTCTGCGTCACTTATAATTTCCCCCTCTCTTCATACTCTCTGCCTTTTAGGCATCACAGCTGCTGAACATCAGGGTCAGCAGAACTGACCTAAATAACCTCAGGTCTGATTTCTGTCTCCTCCCCTGAAGTGACCGTGTAGCCGCGATAGTGTGTGATGGTACTTTTTTTTTTTTTTTAAATTAAGATTAAGAAATTAAGACTAACCGTTATAAAGAGCCCCGCCCTGTCTCTGGGTGCCATTGGTCACCTTGGATCCAGAGGTGAAAACAGCTGAAGAGGAAAGGCCGAACCACCGGGACGGTGGTTCGGCCTTTCCTCTTCAGCTGTTTTCACCTTTAATATAATCGTTGTAAATGTGTTTGTTTCTGTTGCTTTTGTAGAGACGAACGTTGAGGGTTTTTTTTTTTTTCGAGCTCGGCTGTCGCTGTGAGTCAAACGCCCGACTCTTCACTGCTGACAGGAAGAAGAAGAAGAAGCCTAATGGTTTCTTTTCTCCTCTAAAGTGTTTTCGGACATTTTGATTGATTTTAATTTAAGCATTTAGTTTTAGTTTAGGAGGAGGTGCTTTCATATTTTATATCCTTACTATAATGTAAGAGCCAGTGAGACGAGAAAGGAAAGAAAAGAAAATCCCGCCGGTTATTTTTAGCCCCCGTGTCCAGCGTCTGCTTTAATTGATCCTTTCTGCCAGTGAAATTTGTATTATTTGCATAAAGACAGATCAACCGGGGGGGAAGGCGGGGGGAGGGGGGGAAGTGGGAATCG